TTTTAAAAGCTACTTTTTTAAGTTTGGCAAATTATGATTAGATTTGAAAATGTTCCTCAAAAGTAAATAGCCAAAAAAACAAACTCATGGGTGGAAGGGTAATTTCTAAAAACATAAAACTTAAAAACACATCTAAATTATTAACCAAATAAAAATATATATGTTTTTAAAAACTAATTTTTTTAAATTTTACAAATTTTTTTTGCTTAGATTTGAAAATGATCTTCAAAAGGAAATAACAAAAAAAACAAAAACATGGGTAGAAATGGTGTGTGTTAACTTATTTTTTAGAAACAGAAAAGAACGAATAATATATTATCAAATGGAACCTTACAAATCAGACTAAATGAAAGTATAATCTAAAGTTTAAAATGTAACCGTATCTTAAAACTAAAGATTTGAATAGATATAATGGTCAAAGTATTTACATCTAAATTTATAATTTAACTTGCATCTAAAATCAAAATCATATTTAAATGTAATTTATTTTTTTGTTTGAATATTATTTTGTTTCATGTACTTTGACGATGTTTGTTTTGGTATTTGCACCTTTAATTTTTGTTTATTTTAGTCTCTATACTATGAAAATGTTTATTTTGGTATCCATACTTAAAAAACACGATCATTTTGATTCCTATTGGCATAATTTTAACATAAATTTAAATACACAATGAAAATTCTATACAAATTTATGGTTACATTTCAAGGAATTTAGTAAGTGAAACGTCATACTAAAATTTTCATCAAAATAAATTAGATAAAATAAAAAAAATGACCAAAATAATCATTTCAAAGGATTACATCGACCAAAACTAACAATCGAAAAGTATAAGGACTAAACTGAAAAAATGATGAAAGTACATCGACTAAGATATACATTGTGAAAGTCTACCAACTAAAATAAACCAAAATCGAAACTACTCGAATCAAAATAGTCTTTAAACTTTGATTTTTGTACCCTAACAAAATTAATATATGTTACCTTACTAGTTATGGTCAATTCGCCCACCGGTAATAATTGGGGACCTATTTTTTCTCTTGGAGTCGAAGTCTCAAACTCAACTATACCCATTTGTTCTACTAAAAAATAATTAAAAAAATTTATAGTCAATTCCAACTGTACACATAGTTTGACCCGTTCAGCTTTTCTTCCATCCATCTGTCTCTCTTGCCAATTGTCTTAACTGTGGGCCCACACTTAGGTTCGGATTAAAATCCACTTTCTAGTTTCCAATAAAACCCCCATTCACTTCCCCATCAGGATTTTTATTGGGAGGGTATAATTGGAAGGGTCTTAAATAAAACAACATAGTTAATTTAAAACATAAGGTGTTCACTTGGTCAAAAGACTCAAAACTATGTTTTTTTTTTAAGAAATGTTTTTGTTACGGTCAAATCAATAAATTGTTTCCTTTACTTCTAAAATTTTTGGACTCAGTTGATATAAGTGGGCCAAAACTAAACAATTTCAATTGTTCTTGTAAGTCCTTGCTATAATAGATATTTTGGACTCGTTTGGTAACGTTTCCATTTCTGGTTTCTTGTTTCTAATTTTCATCATAAATCTAAGTATTTTGCAACTAACTTTGTTTTTTATTTCTCCTTATTTGGGAACATTCTCACTATTGTATAAAAATTTTGGAAACAATCAAAACAAGTTTCTTATTTGTTATTTCGATTTCCACTTTGTGTCAAAACATAACAAAAAAGATTGCTTTATCATACTTGAATTCATGGATGTTGAAGCAATGCAATTCATTTTTCTTCATTAAAATTTAAGAAACGGAAACAAGAAAGAGGAGCGTTACCAAACGAGTCGTTTATAATTTTTAAATATGAAAATGAATTCTTGTTTTCAATTTAAATTGTCATACAAAATCAGTCGTAAAAAAACTATCAGAATTAAGATTTGAGCAAAAAGAGGAAAAAAGTGATGAATTTTTTGGTGGTAAAAAAATAGTTTAAAGATTTATGAGATAGACTAAATTATAAAAATTAAAGAATCAAAACAATCCTTGAGTCATAAAAATCTAAAAACTTTAAAAATCATATTAAAACTATGCCCACATCTTAAAATCAAATCACTAATTTAACGTTGGTCAATTCTAATTTCTCCAAACTTTTCTAAAGGTAATTTATTTTTAAAAAAACGAACAAAGCTATTGAACACGTAAAAACATGGAAATTTGATAAGATTTCATAGAGGAGGATGTTACGTGAGCATATTTATTTGGCTATATTTTGGAAATAAAAACGAATTAAATGATTATGATATGCTAATATATGTGGAAAAGTCAACAATTCTACACATAGAAAAGACCTTAGATTTTAGACCCAAAAAAACAAATACTAATTCGTATGGTTGCAATTACAACCGGTCAACCTTCGATCCCATCGCCTAATTAATTATATATTTTTTTTAGTACTAATTAATTAATTTCATCAAAAATACGAAAAAAATAAAATAAATTCAAATTCAAATAATTCTACCACAAAACAACAAGAAATTGACACAAAAGTTACAATCCCACCCACAATAACAACCCACAGAACTTATAAATTTTTAAGAACTTTATTACATCATACATTAGATATATGACAAGAAAACAATGACACATTTATAAATTTGTAATTCATGCGAAGGAAAATGGTTGAACACAAATCAATTAATTATTTTTTTAAAAAAATAAATTTAAGATTTCGTCGATATCCAAAAAAAATTTATAAAAAGAAAAATGGTATTTATTTATAGCATCAAGAAGAAAAAACTACATTTTTGTGGGTAATTAATGAATTGCTAAGAAGGAAATGTTCTACAAATTACCTACTTTACAAAAAGAAAAAAAAAAACCCAAATGTTCTCTCTTTGATTTTTATAGAGAGAGAAAGGAGAGAGAGAACTTAGCTGAGCAAGTCAAAGAGATTGTTGTAGAAATTTGGGGGAGAAATTGGGGAAACCAAAGGCGCTGAGAGGAGAGCCGAAGGGCTGGCCAAGAAACTGGAAGCCGGCCAATGCGGGCTCAGCTCAAACGCCGCCGGCGAGAAGAATCCCGACGGAATCGGCGCCAAACTCGCCGGCGCCGGAGATAGAATTCCTGGCACCTGCCCCAATTCCACCGAAACGTCCGCCATCTCCATCATCATATCGCTGACGTCGATTTCCCTTTCCCTTTCCCGCTCCGGCCGGGGGCTCGCCTTCTCGATTGTCGCCAGCCTGGCCGCCGGCGAGAGGTCCCCGGCGGCGGACGAGTCTGCGGCGGCCAACGACGAGGACAACCCCGTCAGGCGCTGTACCACCGACATGAAATTGTTCTCCGCCACGTGGATGACTTTGGGGGAGATGTCGTAGATGATCAACGGCTGGGGGTACTGGGCCGGCGCCGGCGGGGGCAGAGGGGGGCGGCCGGCCTGGGGGTGCGGCGGCGGCTTCTTGATTTTGCGGGATTCGTGGCTGACCCGGAGCTGCGGCGGCCGTGGACCCTGCAGCTGGATCTCCTTCTTCCGCGACGGATTGGCGCCGGGAAAGCCCGGGCCCAGCGGGTCCATGGTGGTGGGGGGAATCCGGCGGGCGGAGCAGCTCCGATTTGCGGCGGAGAGGGAGATCGGAATCGGGATCGGAATCGAGGGGAGAGGGAAAAAGGGTAAAGGGGGGAATCTCTCCTGAATTTAGGTTTCTAATAATTGGTGGAGAGTTGAGGAATATGGTTGGGGGAATTAAATAAATAACAATATTTATAATTTATAATTAAATTTTTTAATTATTATTTTTTTTTTTGGTGTCAGTTGGGTGACAAAAGTATTGTTTGTTTGACTTTGGATTTGTTGACTTCATAAATGAAACCCTCTCCTCACATGAATAAATTAAAATGTAAAACTATGTTTTCATTTTTAAATATAATCTCGATCCGCTAAGTTCAGTATTACCTTAGTGATAATTGACACGTATTTCTTCTTTTAAAATATAAAACTATGTTTTCATTTTTAAATATAATCTCGATCCGCTAAGTTTAGTATTAACTTAGTGATAATTGACACGTATTTCTTCTTTCGAACTTTTGAGGTTCAATTCCTTACCTTCCTAAATTGTTGGGCTTAAAAATATATATAGTCATCCCAATCATTTCTTTAGAATTTGTGGGTTTTTATTTTATTATCCTATTTTTTTTCTAATGTTAGGTTATGTTCTATAAATATTGTATAAGAATCATTTCCTTAAAACCAAAGTTTTTGTTGTTATTGTTCTTTTATATATTTAAATTGTCTGCCTACACATTTTTTGACCGAGTAATAAAGAATTAGTAACATTTTTTAGATTTATAAATTATTTTAGAGTGTAAAATAGACATTTTGAATAACTAGATTCAATTGAATTTTGGCACCATTTACTTATCAAGAATCATAATGGGTTGAATATTAGTAATTATCATAATTCAGCTATTGGTATATATCTCGAACTAGAAAATTGTGAGTTGGATCCCCACTTCTACATATTGTACTAAAAAAACGATATTATGTTCTCTTATGCTCTTATTTGTTTTTTTTATTTTTTATTTTAGAGTAAGAAATGATTTGTTCCTTTTGGAAGATTAAAAAAAATTCTTTCTCAATTCTCCCTATAATATATATTTCATTACTTAATAATTATTTTCCTTATTCTATTTGTTGGGTCCTACAAATCAAATTTGATTCTAATTCCAAGCTTTAGTGAATAAGATTGTTTCCCCTTTGGTTAAATTATGATTTATACTATATATGTATTTGTATATTATGATTATTTAGTTTTATAATTTTGAAAGTTTCAATTTTATATTTTATCAAAAATGATAATATGATATGCTCATTAATTTGTTTAATTGAAACTAACTCTTCAAGATTTATCTAAATAGCATATCACATTATCATTCCATTAATATTTTATTGTTTCTAATAACAGCGATAAATAGAAGTATAATAAAATTAATCTTTAGCGTACGAGGCTGCAAGTATAGATGAACTAAATTTATAATTTAATTTTGGTTAACTAGATTCGTGTTCTTTGTACTTTTAGTTTGTTTCATTTTAGTTTCTGACTTTCAGAATGTTCATTATGATCGGTTCATTTTAGTCCATGAATTTTCCAAAATGTTCGTTTTGGTCTCTATGCTTTTAGGAAGTGACTATTTTGATCCATATTTTAAAAATTTCAACACCTCTACACATAGCAGAAACTCTTTTATATAAAGTTATTGTTAAATTTCAAGAAATATATTGAGTGTAGCGTCATGTTGAAATTGTGATAGAAAAAATGAGATTAAAAATAAAATGAAAGAACCAAAATTGTTACTTTTTAAAAGTAGAAGGATTAAAACGAACAATTTTAAGATATAGGGACTAAAATGAACTAAAATTAGTAGAAGAACCAAAATCAATCAAAGCTAAAATTACATATTTTTTACCATTTTAATTCCAAGTTATAAACATAATTTTGTAGAAAATAAACCCTTTGAATTTTATTAGACGTATCTAAATAACTACGCTTTATTAAATATAGAAGAAAGTCTAAAATTTCAAAAAAAAAAAAAACAGAAAAAAATTGCAAATTCAAACTCTAATATAAAACACACTAAGAAAAGTCAAATCTATGTTATATTTCAAAATTAAAAGTTCTGACATTTTAAATTGTACATATTAAATTTTACGGTAGTTGCACGAATAACAATCTGACCTAAAATAATAGCACATTTTTAACTCAAGCTAAAAAAATTTGCAAACTGACACAATTCCCCTGTATGTCTATGATCCAAATTTATGGACCTCTCTATCGGAGAAATTAAAATAACTATACCGAACCATTTTATCTTACCATCTTAAAAATTTGATAAATATTGGTTGATCGCGTATATTTCATTAGAATTCTAAGATTTAGAGTATCATCCCCTTGAGTTCCATATTTGAAGTTGCCATTAGATCAAATAGAATCGTATGACATCTGTAAAATGGATGAATAAAATTGCTTACTAAAATTAAACATTTTTTTCACAACTTAATCAAAGATTAATTCAATTCAAGCCAACCGAATTAGCATCCTAAAGTCAACAAGAGACCCATGCTAGTTTTACCCAACTTAATTAAAGAACAAGTAATTTAACCAACAAAATTTAATTAAGCAGCTGTTCAACCATTCTTTTGCAAGTTCAAGAGTAAACCCCTTATCGATCATTTTACAGGTTTAGGATTCAACCTTTACTGACCTTTTTCACCTAATTCAAGATCAAACCACATTGTGACCGGTTAAGCATCAAACCAACGCAAATCTTTTTGTTTTTTCTAGTTCTAGATTAAACTAATCACCCAATCCTAGGGTGCACTGGACCTCAATACAAAATCTTAAATAAATTGATAAAATCAAGTTTAAAAATCAAGTTTAGCACAAGAAAATAATAAAATCTCTCAACTAATTTAAAAGAGAACTTTGTGCTTTGGAGAGAGACTTGCCAATGAAGATTTAAAGGTGTTTTAAGGTTAGCTCGTAGAGTACGCGACATTGGATTTAAGATATTTAATCCAATTGTGGATTTTAGAGTTCGTTTGGTAATATTCCTATTTCTTGTTTCTGTTTCTTTATTTTTAATAAAGAAAAATGTGTTACATGGTTTCAACCTCCAAGAATTCAAGTATGATAAAACAATATTTTTAATTGTGTTTTAAAATAAATTGGAAATGGGAACAAGAAAAGAGAAACTTGTTTTTATTGTTCCCAAAATTTCTATACAATTATAAAAATATTCCAAAAAATAGAAGAAACAAGAAACAAAGTTAATTGTAAAATACTTAGATTTTTTAAGAAAATTGGAAACGACAAAAAACGGGAACGTTACAAATGGACCCTTAAATGTGCTAAAATATAGGAGAAAGAAAGGTACCTTGAAAAGTTAGAAATTTGGGATTAGTACATAGATGGTCTATTTAGGAGACCTAATTACATAAAAGGATTGAAAGTACTAGAATTTACACTTTTGTCTAACATAATTCCCAAAATAGATGGTACCCATAATAGAAATTACTAATATATCCATCTCAATATTAAATCATTAATAAAATATGAAATTGGTAAATATTTATTAAGATATATGAAATCCCTAAAATCAAGCAAATTCAAAATTCAAAAATTGGGATTTTTAGAAACCCAAGATTTCGTAACCTCTTCATCTCCGTTGTTTTCTCCTTCTTCACCGCTGCGACAAAACCTTTTCTCCATCATCAAGCTTCCGGTCGCATTTCTGAAGAGATATCTCCGGCGGGTGCTTCTCCGTTCTCTGCAGAAAATATCTCTGACGGGCTCCGTCGCATTTCAGAGGGCAACATCGTCACGCTTCCTTCGTCTCTGGCGGCTACGTCGACCCATTACACTATAAGTTCTAATTTCATCTTCTTCCTCCGTCACATGATCAAATTAGGTTTCATTTTTTGACAAAATATGTTGCTCTCTGGCTTCTGGTATCTCAATGTATCTGCTATTATCGTTTATAACAGTGTATATTTGAGTTTATATAATATAGTGATACAGATTAGGATATATAATATATATCTACATAAAAGTATCTCCATATATACCTGTTTATGCAACGATATGCACAATAGTGTATTTCTGATTGTAGCTCGAACTCGGCCTCCGGACCGATCTGAATACTTGGGCGGACCTGCACAAAAAGGTGAGCACTTCGACGATCAAGTCAGTATAGGTCGGATTCCCAGTTTAGTTCGAGGTCAGAAATCATCGTACCTGATCGTGGAGTGAGGTCCTCTACTTATGGGTG